TATAGGTTATAACTCTGTCAGTTTTAAAGTTACAGAGTTTAAATATGATGTGGTAGTAGCCGAGTCGTACATAGCACATACTTTGTGAGCTCACACATCTGCCAACATCACTTGTGATCAAGCATTAAATTTATTGTAACGGTTTGACCAAAAAAGCTGGAACTCTGTCATTTGTTAACATGAGATGATCTTAGTTTAAAACTCTGACATGAGAAGTGGCAGGTGATATGCTTTCCTCCAAGAACTGCATTTGATTTCTTCTTATTTTTAACGTTTTTGTGTGTTTTGTGCTTCAGATCTGGGATTTGGCTGACCCTGATGGAAAAGGCTTTCTGGATAAACAGGTAAGGAAGTTATCAGTGGAGGAACTGTTCAGTGTCTTTTTATTTCTTTTTCTCAAGCTGTGAACTTTAAAATAAAGAAGAACTTTGTTATCTTAATGCTGTCCTTTCATCAACAGACATAATGATCAGTAGCTTGTAGAAACAAATCTGGACATGTCCTTTTTACATGATAATAAATGCTTTGGCAGATAGATTGTATTATGAGAAAGGTTGCAATAAAGTGTTGTTTTCTGCAGGGGTTTTATGTTGCTCTTCGGTTGGTGGCCTGTGCCCAGAGCGGTCATGAAGTCAGTTTGTCCAACCTGAATCTCACAGTCCCTCCTCCAAAGTTTGTGAGTGTGAATCATTTTTAAAGTTATTTTTTCCATACTTCATTCATCACAAACAGTCTGCTCCTTAAAGGTCTTTAAAACAAGGACATTGACCTCAGATGATCTGTAGCTTCAAGAACTTCAAGCAGTCATTTTTTGCCTGTGCAGTCATGAAATCAGTTGATATTGTTTGGGAGTATTTTAACACATTTTGAATAAGAAACTTCAAGAACAGTTGTTCAGAAGACACTAATAGAAACATTGCAATCAGCTGGAAGAGGTAATCAGGATTGGACAGCAAGCTCTAACCAAAGACCAGTGGTGGGCTGTGCATTTTACTCCTAGGCCTTCAGTGGCGTCCTGCCTGAATTTATCCACCTTTTCAGAGTCAGAGTTTCTTTATTGTCATTTGCACCTCATGTAGTACATGTGGTGGAGCGAAATTATGTACACAGGGTCCCAGTTACATCCAACAATAAAATGTAAAATAAAAACAATGATAACATCTAAGATATGAACTAAGAAAAACATAAACTAAAAATAAACTAAGCACTAATAGCATAAAAACAATACGTCGAACAGCAGCACAAACACGAGCATGAGTCTGCGTGAGCAAATGAGCATGAACACATCAACATGAAACAGATCAGCAGCAACATTGAAACAGATCAGCAGCAACATGATGTGATTTTTTTCACAGTGATTATTCTGGTTAGAGATTCATTAGTCTTAACAGCCTCAGGGTAGAAGCTGTTCCTCAGTCTAATGGTTCTACACTTAATGTTCCTCAACCTCCTTCCTGAGGGGAGGGGGGCAAAAAGTGTGTGTGCTGGGTGAGTGAGGCCCTTCATGATGCAGGCGGCCCTTTTCTTGCATCTAGAGGTGTAGATGTCTATGATGGTGGGGAGGCTGACTCCAACAGTCTTCTGTGCAGCCCTCACCACTCTCTGCAAAGCTTTTCTTTCTGCAGCTGTGCAGCCTCCATGCCATACGTTGATGCTGGAACACAGGATGCTCTCCACTGCACACCTGTAGAAGGAGGTGAGGACTGAGCTTCCCAGACCAGCTCGTCTCAGCTGCCTGAGGAAGTAGAGTCTCTGATGAGCTTTCTTGATCAGGCTGGTGGTGTTGTTGCCCCAGCTGAGGTTGTCATTCATGTGTACACCCAAGTACTTGTAGCTGGAAACCACTTCCACTGCAGATCTTTTTATGTTCAGGGGGGTGTAGGTGTGTTTGTTCCTTCTGAAGTCCACAGTCATCTCCTTTGTCTTCTTCACATTTATGTGAAGGTTATTCTCTCTGCACCAGCTCTCCAGGTGTTCCACCTCCTGCCTGTAGCTGGACTCATCATTGTTTGTGATGCATCCCACCACCACTGTATCATCAGCAAACTTTACAATGTGACAGCCCTGGATGGGTAGCTGCACAATCATACATGAGCAGAGTAAATAGGAGAGGGCTCAACACACATCCCTGAGGAGAGCCAGTGATGAGGGTTATGGTGGAGGAGGAGAAGTTGTGGATCCTCACTAACTGTGGTCTGTTTGTTAAGAAGTCTAGTACCCAGTTGCAAATGGAGGGGCTTAGTCCTAGTGTGAATTTAATCCTGTCATTATGATGCTGTGACCACAGAAATCATCAATACACAACAATACAGCATAATTTGGTGCCGCATCACAGACAGGTGCCTTATGCAGCCAGAATGAATGACATTATTGAAGCAAGAAACCCAATTAAAACAATTCTATAAGTTTTCTTCAGCTGCAGCCACAGCTGCACTTTATACAGATTTACCAAAAGCATCAATATGGATGTAATAAATTGACAAAGATATAAACATTTGAATAAAATGCATTTTACTCACCAAAAGTTTTGATTATCTGTACACAAACTACATCCCAGTTCCTCTGTCCTACAGCTCATCATGGCGGTTCTGTTTCAACAATGTTATTGTCTGTCACTATGGAAGTTAACGCTGAAAGTCGAGTCTGTTCTGTCGTGTTTCTGGCATAAGTTTTTATTTGCTGTCGGCTGGGAATGTTCGCTCAACATTTAGCTTGTGCAGGTCATTACAAGTGCAGTTTCCTAGCCCCGTCCAGTCCGCTCTCTGACATCCACTCAAACGGTGTGAAAATGCTTATGCTGTCTAATGCCTGCTGGAAGGCCCCGGTGTCACAAACTCAACATCTGATTGGTCAAAGCAACTGAAAAAAAAAAAAAAAAAAAAAAAAAAAAAACTACACTAGATAATCACTAGAATAAATATTTCATAATAATGGTGTGGAGAGGATGGCTGTAAGGGGAGAAGGGAGGCCATCTTAAAAAAAAAAAAAGCAACTGTGTAATTTCCATTTACAGTATTTACAATATACACTGTTGGTTCTGAAGGTCTTGAGCCTAGCAGCAGCTGATGGTTAAAATATGATTACCGGGATATAAAAGCTCAACATAAACATACTATATGCAACTGGAAGCTGCACAAGCAGGAGAAACACTGTAAAATGAAGAGAGCAGACATCTCAGAATAATATTAGTGTTTCCTCTAGGTCACTTGCCTTGGCAGGATGCTCTTCTCTTTGGGGGTTTTTGTTGAGGGGGCAGGGATGGTGGATATGGGGACATGTCTGTGTTGTGTTGCATGCTGGCTTAGTGCTACTTAAGTGCCAGCAGTTGTCGACGGGGGTGGGTGGGGAAGCAGTGGGTGAACAACATTTCGGTCATCAGGGCACTTGGTTCTGTTGACAGGGCGGTGCACTTGATAACAGTTGGAGAAACACTGTATTAATAGAACAATATACTAAAACACAAGTACTGGAAACTAGTCTTACCAGAAAACGATAACTGCACAGCATGGAGGAGAGGTTTTTATTCTGACTTTTTTTTTTTTCTAAATTTTTGTCAACTGTGGCTTCTTCAAGTGCTGAAGGACCTTTTAAAGACACATTAAAAAAAGGTATGAAGAAAATAATCTCTGTTGTTGGGACTGATCTAGACAAGGCAAACGGTAAGGTATAATGTGCTGAGAGTTGGACTTGCTTCTGGTTGTTACTTTAAAATTGTGAATGATTTAATTCACAAGAAAACCACCTGCAGGAATTATGTGATTTAAAATCTTTGGGTACGTTTAACTGAAGCACTAGGGGTGTGGTGAAGGATGTAATAATAAAAAAAACTCTAACCGCTGTCTCATAAATCATGTGTTGTTTGCAACCACATCAGCAGAAATTTGACAAGATTGTAGATTTATAAATTAATTTAAAACTCCTTTACCTCCAGCAAAGTATTAAGCGTAAGCTCATTCAGTTTCAGATGGTTTCTCCGTAATTGATGTTGGCGAGTCAAACTCGTTGGCGCTCAATGATGAGTTGTAAAGTTTGTTCGTCTTCCTGCTTACTCAGTTTCAGAATATAATGAAAACTTGGCTTTCTTGATTTCTCTGCTTCGTCTGAACACCTTTAATCCAACAATACACAACCATTATTTATCTTTCAGCCACGTTCATTGAAGTGGACAGTTGGGTTAGGGTTAGTTTATTGTGCTGGGACAGAGGAGAAGAGCCCAGGTGTTGGACGTGTGATGTCATTTGGGAACTGTGTGTTAACGAGGAGAAAACTAAAGATGCAGCAGCTGCTGCTGTAGCCAGCTCACTGAAACCCACAAGTAGTTGTTTTAAGCATATATGCTCTTCCATATAATGTAAAAGTTTGTGAATAGATCATGTTTGATTTCAGAATGACACCAGCAGCCCATCTCTGAGCGCCATGGCCCATGGCTCAGGTGACTCCCACTGGGCCGTCAAGGTGTGTTCAAACACTCAAGCACACACTCAAACACAGTGGTGTCCAGTCCTGAACCTCCAGAGCCACCACCCTCCATGTTTTAGAGGTTTCCCTGCTCTTCAGAAGGCCTTTAAGTTCTTCATGTCTTTTAATCACTCTTTCATTCAGATCAGGTGCGTTGAAGCAGAGGAATCTCTAAAACTTGCAGGACTGGGCACCACTGATCCAAATACTAAAGCCCGTATCTGACTTGGTTGTTACTGTTGGAGACTTGTTGGGATCAGCATGTATGAGGGACCCAAAATGTTTGGAAATGTTCAGGGGTTGGGGCTGGGAGGTCTCACAGAGACTTGAAGTCTTGTCTCATAAATTTTAAATGTGTTCAATAAGGAGATGCAACATAATATCTTACATAAAGCTTATACAGTATCTTCATACATGTACAGCAAATACACAATAGAGGTCTCCAAGCTGTTACACAAGTCAAGGTTCTTTATTGTCCTTCTCATCACATGTGGTACATGTGATGGAGCAAAACTGTGTACACAGGGTCCTAGTTACATCCAACAAAAGTATAAATTGTAAAGAAAAACAGTAATAAGATCTAAGATATGAACTAAGAAATATGTTAAACTAAGGATACACTAAGCACTAATGGTACAAAAACAATACGCTGAACAACAGCAGCATGAACAGTCTGTGTGAGCAGATAAGCACGATTGAATGAATAACTCAAATAAACTACAGTTCACTGCTTCTGGGAATGTGAAATGATTCAGCAGTTTTGGCCGGCAGGGTGTATCAAGGTCAGTGGAGTGATAGGACAGCAGCTAAGCTCGATGCATTAATGCGTCTATTGGGTCTTATACCTGCTTTGTTAAAGGACACAAGGACATAGGACATTGTCTCTTCATGGTGGCATACAATAATGACAAAATGGTTGGGTGATGAGCCCCCATCATTTTATTTATGGACAAGTATCATCTCGGATACTATCATACTATCACTTTGGAGAGGCTGAGGTTTTGTGTCAGTGGACAATATCATCTGTTCAAAGCAAAGTTTGACATAGTGCTGAAACGCCTGAAAATAGGGAAGGAGTCGTAAAGCAAATGGAGAGATGAGAGGAAAGGACTGACAACAGAGAACATTGGGATAAGGGAGTCGAGGAAGTCCTCACTCAACTCTTAGTTCACCTGTGGACATTACTGGGCACAGTGTTTGATCTCATAGAGGGCCTCAGATTTAATTATATAAGGATTTATGGCATACAGGAGGACGCTTAGGGCACATGAGCAACTGTATTCATTCAGGTTTGATTAAATTGGACTTGGTACCACTGGAACAGCTTCCTGTGGGCCCATCACCTGCTGGAGGGGCCATACAAGTCAGGTGCATGGTGCCATGAACAGCAGCAGAAAGTGGGGGCCTTGGGACACTCTCCCTTAGTGATAGGGCGAGAAGTTCAGCTATCCAGGAGAGACTTTGATTAGAGCTGCTGCTTCTCCATATCCAGAGGATCCAGTTGAGGGGCTTCAGGGAACTTGGCAGGCTGTCACCTGGACGTCTTCCTAGGGAGGTGTTCTGAGCATGCTCAGTTGGGAGGAGACACCAGGGAAGAACTCCAAGAAACACCTGAGTCCTCTCAGAAGAGCTAGAAGAGGTGGCTTTGGAAAGACATGTTTGGACTTCTCTGCTCAAGCTGCTGCCCCCAAGACCTGACTCTAGAACAAGATGATGGATGGATGGATGGATGGATGGATGGATGGATGGATGGATGGAAGAAGTTGTGACACCAACTTAAGTTGGAAGGCAGCAGCGACTTGGGGAGCCTTCTTACTAAAACCACAATGAGACACTCCCATGGCCCATTAGGCTACATCTGTTGGAGACTTTTACATCTCAGTCCCACTGAATTCTGAGTGTATGCAACCAGTGAGTTGTGCAGCCAGTTTTGTAAAATCATGACCTATTTTTGTGTGCACAGCTTGGAAATCCTGTGTTCTTGGCCATGCATGTTCTTTTGTTGCCTTCTTCCTCTCATATCAAACCCACCTTGATCCGTTTTGTACCCACCATGGCAGCTACCAACACATGTATGATGTAATCTGTTGGAGTACACTTTAGAAATGAATGTAAACAGATTTGAGCTATTTATTAAAATATTTATTTCTCATCGTGGTTGTTGGACTTGGACTTATTTTGTATCAGAGAGCTCTCTTGCAAGTGTCAAAATATTGTTACTGAGACAAGTTTCTGTTCTGCAACTGTTTTAAGAAAATAATTGGTCCACAAAGTATTTAAATGTTCAAAATTTAAGAAACGAGACTCTGAGCCTATACAACTAACAAGTGGAAATCAAGAACCACCACAAACAACATTTTGGAGACTCCCTTGAGAATATTTTTCACCAGCTAGTTTCCAACAGTCACAACCCTGTTAGATACTCCATTTACTTCAACAACATACTGTCCATGTGAATTAGAACTATGTGTTAGTGATCCTCCAGTTTAGGAAGTTGCGTTTTGATCTAATTACAAGCTTTGTTATTTAATTTAAACTTTATGTCTTTACCTTTGAAGCCTGAGGAGAAAAATAAGTTTGATGGGATTTTTGAAAGTCTGGCTCCAGTGAACGGTCTGCTGTCAGGAGAGAAGGTCAGACCGGTTCTCATCAACTCCAAACTGCCTCTGGACATCCTTGGGAAGGTATTTCCTTCACTTTTGGTTTCTTGTTCACATGGACACAGGGTGTTTTTTTTACAGATGCAGATTTTTAACTCTGACAACATGTGAACCCACCAAATATTTGAAACCCTTTGTAGAAATGTAGAAGCTCTGCTATGAGGAGGGAAGACAACATTACTGTTGTTAATAAGGCAGGGATAGAAAACTTTAGTTTTCTATCCTTGAAAACTAAAGTTTTGTTAAATGACGAAGGCCAGCCTTTTCTATCTCTCCATCTGTGGTCTGGACCACTTTGACCCATATTTACCACCAGATCCAAATTGACAAGTAGCTGTTGTTGATCCAGACATTTCTGGGAGGCCTCCTATGTTATCTCTTGATCTGGTCCAGACTGCTAGCAAGTATCAAAAAACCTTGAAAGTCAAGCAGGCTAACCAGACAATTAGGACTTTAACCTAAAACTGCAGTTTATCACTGTCTTAGCCAAGAGAAGACCTGCGGATCCTGAGGGCTCTCGTCGGAGCAAACACCTCCAGGGAGACTGGCCGTAGCTTCTCACACACCTCTCCTGAGACTTTTAGTTGACGGGAGAGAGTCCAGAATTCTGTGTTCAGCTTTTGTGTTTTCAGGTGCCACACAGACACAAGCGGCTGAATAAATTTAAAGGAAGAACTTGGCAAGATTCAGGAGCCACAACTCAGGTTCTATCCTTGAAAACTAAAGTTTTGTTAAATGACGAAGGTCAGCCTTTTCTATCTCTCCATCTGTGGTCTGGGTCACATTCATCTCACATGAGTAGGAGCACTTTTCAGGTTTCTGTCTCTGGGCCTCTTAACAAGTGTGCTACAGGCTTTACCGTAAACCCTGAATGTGTAATCCTTGACTGAAGTGTAGCGTCATGAGTTTGTAGCTGTTCTTAACAAGTCAAAGAAAACATGCTTTCTGTAGACACTTCCTGTTTGTTTCTGTTCATAGGTCTGGGATCTGAGTGACATCGACAAAGATGGACATCTGGACAGAGATGAATTTGCAGTTGTGAGTTATACTCTTTTATTCTTTTGTTTTCTGCATGGATGGATGGATGGATATATGGATGGAAGGTTAGATGGAATTATGGATGGATGGATGGATGGAAGTATAGGTGGAAGAATGGATGATGCATGGATGGATGGATGGATTAATGCATAGATGGAAGGATGAATGGATGACGGCCAGCTGTATAGATGGATGGATGTACGTATGGATGGATGGTTGGATGGATGGATCGAAGAATGCATGGATGAATAGATGCATGGATGGATGTGTAAAGTGACAGTAAAGTCCCTTTAAGTTTTTATTATTATCTAATGTGTAACTACGGTAATCTAATATAAACTAGAGAAATTACATTTCCTGTGAAAATGCAGTGTGAATGCTGATTGCTGAATGATTTTGCTGAAAGCTGCTTAAAAAGCTAGTTTACTTGAAATACATCAATTGCTAAAAAATTTGAAAGCAAAAAATATTCCCTAAAATGCTTAAAAAGTTTTAAAATAGTTTAAATAAAGCTAAAATGTGCAAAAACACTGTACTTAACAAAAATAGAAGCTACACTAGTGTGAAGAAAGCTGCAAGTAGGGAAAAAAAAAGCTAGTTGGAAATCAGTAGCTAAATAGCATTCACACAATGAGAACACATTCTGATCTGATGTTTGTGGTGGTCAACTTGTGATAGAAAGAGGAGCTCTGTGCAGCAGAAGCTCTCTCATCAGCAGCACGAACAGCAGCTCTTCTCTTCATCATTCAGTCTTCATCATTTTCTCCTCTCTGTCAACACGCTCCAGTTCAAATTAAATGACTGGATGTCAGACACCGTCCAAAATTAACATTCAATCTGGATGGAGCTCACACCAGAGTCACCTCATTTTTTCCCCAGAATGCATTGCAATGTAAACAACACGGAAGACAGCTGTGACATAAATTTTTAAAAATGTACAAAACTTAACAGCCTACATTATTTTTACAGCCCTGTTTGTATAACTGAGACAATTGTCTATCAAAGAATGTCTATTGGTCCGTCTAGTCGGAGATCTCTTCAAGACTTCATCTTTGTGAGGTTGTATGGAAACACAAGTCTCTTAATTGAAAAAAAGTGCATTCTAAAGAATGTATACAATTTTAAATGGTTTAGCACCAATCTGCAAAAGTTTGTTTTTCACTGCTCAGCTGTCGGTTTGCGCTCCACAAGAACCTCATTAACTGTACGATTCTTGGTAGAGGTTATTGTGCATGAGTGGCTGAAATAGCACAAAACCTGCAGAAGTAGTTTGATTGCAATACACCTAGAGAAGAAACTACCAACAGAATGATAAAGTCAGCAGCTACAACAAGAGAGCTTCATGATATCATTTGACAGAGGGTTGACAGCTTTAAGTGGTTTTTAGTAATAAGTAGCTTTCATTTAGGCCATGCACCTGGTGTACCGGGCCCTGGAGAAGGAGCCTGTTCCTGCCCTCCTCCCCTCTGCTCTCATCCCTCCATCTAAGAGGAAGAAGAGTCTCTGCTTGGTAACAGGCACACTTCCTGGACTACCAGCCAGCCCCCCACCACCCAAAGACTCCCTGCGCTCTACACCATCCCACGGCAGCATGACGTCACTCAACAGCACCGGCAGCCTGTCGCCCAAACACACACTGAAGTCGGGACAGGTAACACACACTCAGCTGTGATATGTGTTCTGTGGTCAGTAAACACATCATTCTGTCATTGAACGCAACACTTACCAGTACTGACATTGTGCTGGAACTATATAAATAAGCTGAACTGAAATGGTGAGGTTGGGGAGAGAACTGGAGAAAACTACCTGTCTGACACTGGTTTATCAAAGTTACACATCTAAGCAACATTAACTTTGGTGACCTCCAGTTTGTGTAATGGGCTGTCAATACCACTGATGTGAATAACAATCTTACCCTTACCCTTAGCCTTAGTCATCAGTTTCAGGTGGGATTCGATGTCGCCTGCTGTGGCCCCTGGAATGCATTTGACTGTGGTCGCTGAAGTCCCTAGTGCCACATTTTGGACTATGGAGCTGCCAGTTACCAGCGTCTGCTTAGTGGGTGTGTCGCTGAGTGAGGAAAAATTAGTCAGAAATGTTAACAGCAGGTGAACTGGGGGCTTAGCCTTAGCACCGTGCTTATTCCGATCTGTCACCCAGCTGGCCTGGGGTCCTGACTGCTTGGGATCTGCTGGAGGACTGCTAACGGGTTCTACTCACTGTGCCTCTGTGCTATGTAAGAGGACATGGCTAGCTAATGGCTTTTCAACAAATCAGAGCCAAGGTTCCAATTCAAACATCCTCGCCTCAAAAGTTACTATAATACTACATTTATTACACGCACCTTTATCGCTAAAATAGGCAGGAATCATCTGACACACAGAGCAAGTGACAACAGAGGAAGCTGGGAGAACCAGAAACCTTGCTAAGCTAACACTAGCTAGAGCTAGCATACCCCAAAACACACCAAGCATTCAAGCACAATGCAGTATTAGATGCTACAGTACAAAACATGCTTGTGTACTAGTTTATGAAATTGTGTCAGTCTATAAATCATTCAAACTCTAGCAAGGTTCGGTGAGCGAACAACTCAGCCAGCTACCAGCAAAGCAAACAGGAAATGATGCAATATGCCTCACCACTTACATCAGCACGTCTCTTCAGATCCAGCATGTTTTCTGTTAATGACAGTCAGAAGTTAAAGCCCATCAGAGAATGTCATCTTCAGTAAAACATGCAGCTTCCTTTTATTAATGTTCGGGACCAAAATGGTGGAAATTTAATTACCTTCATACAGTACGTCATTCACTCCCATCTGTCAGCCATAAAACCAGAAGATTTCAGAACAAACACGTATCTCTCTGTGTTTTAGTATACGTTAAACTGGGTGGTCTCGGTGTCAGAACGTGGGCGATACGATGACATCTTCCTGAAGATGGACGCCGACCTTGATGGGTTTGTGAGTGGACAGGAAGTGAAAGATATCTTCATGCAGTCTGGACTTTCTCAGAACATTCTGGCACATATATGGTAAGAACATAATGAGGCTCATGTTTTAGTCCTAATGGATTATACCACCTAAAGCTAACTTCTTTAGCCAAAACAATTTAATAATTATCCTGATTCATGCTCAGTTATCCAGGTAGAAAAATCCCACAAAGTAAAGTCAGGTCCTCTGGACGGTTTCTTTTTGTTGAAACGTTTTGTCTTTCATCCAAAAGACTTCATCAGTCCCAAGAGCCACAACAAGCTCAGTCTTATAAATAGCACCTTCTCATAGTGGGTCAACCAGAGACCACCTGAGTATGTGTTCTTCTGACCTGCAGGGCTTTGGCAGACACCAGACAGATGGGCAAACTAAGCAAGGAGCAGTTTGCCCTCGCCATGCATCTCATTCAACAGAAAGTGAGTAAAGGCATCGATCCTCCGCAGACGCTGACCGCTGACATGATCCCTCCCTCTGAGAGAGGCACTCCAGTACCAGTAGGTATCACATGTCCTCCCTACTCTGTACACACACACCCGCACCCACACACAATCATCTTCATCTACTAAATACAATTTAGGTTGTACCTTGTGAGCTGACATGTAGCAGAGTAAAATATTTGTACTTTAGGTTTATACATGGCGTTTTATTGCTTTAATCATAACATGACAACAAACAACTTCAATGCACCTGCAGTTACATAAAAAAAAAATTCAGAATATATTTGGAAAGTTCATATATTTCAATTCAAAACTCATACATGGATTCATTTCACACAGAGGGAAACATTTCAAACATTTATTTCTGTTAATTTAGGTTATTTATTCTTACAGCTAATGAAAACCCAAAGTTTTGTTTCTCATTAAATCAAAGTAATACATAAAACCAGAGGCATGGACTGTGGCTGGAGTCAGTGCACTACACACAGATGGATCCATGATGTGGACCACCACTCACCCAGTCCTTGTGTTGTGACATTCCTGAACCAGTCACTCATCAGAACCATCTTACCTGGGCTAAAGTCACAAAGGCGTGGACTAAGGTTCTCCGTCTACACGTGTGCCATTTGCTATAATTTTCTTTTGTATAAGAGCAATGTCAAAAAGTGCTAATATGCCATCAGTCTGAAGGTCAGCACAAAGCTGCTGTTCAAGGACAGCAGATCAGTTCAGAGCTACTGAAGCACGGGTAACTGAGCGACAGCAGGTCTGCTGCTCCACATGATCGGTTTGCAGAGAGTGTGTAAATGGTAAATGGACTGTACTTATATAGCGCCTTTCTATCTTATTTCAAGATACTCAAAGCACTTTACATTACAATCTGTGTCCTCATTTACCCATTCATACAGCACTCTACTAGATCACTACAAAGCTAATTGAACAAATCATTCTAAAGAGACTAATCAGAGCTTTATCACATTTATACATCGATGGGACACATATCAGAGGCTATGAGGGGTTCAGTGTCTTGCCCAGGGACACTTCGACATGTGACTGCTGGTGGATTCGAACCCCCAACTCTCGCATTGGAGGACGACTGCTCTAACCACTCAGCCACAGCCGCCTGGTGGTGTAACCAAAGAGAGTGCTGCCCACCTTGACCGAGCTACCGTCATCTTGTTGTCAATGTCTGTTTCTTGAATAAAGTCAAATGTGTCATTCAGTTGTAAACAATAAGAGCTGATCAGTTTATAAAAGGTAGCTTTAGGCCACAGGTTTGCACTTTACAACCTGCATCACTGTGTGATCTGGTGCCTGCACTGCATCCTGCTGTAGGACCTTCCAGCACATAGGGAGAGACCATCTGAGCCCTCCTTGCAGGACACATGAACTCAAGTTGAAGTTGTGTTTATTTGTCATATGCAAGGTTAACACAAGGTTAATTCATTAATTAAATTAACTAATTGACAGTAACAGTACAATGAAATGTTTAGGTTGAGAAGAACCGATTTGACTCGCTAAAAACATCAAAGAACAAACAAACAAGAAATACTAAAGTATACTAAATACTAAACTCCTGTCTGTCCCAGTACTGACAGAGACCCCACCCTTCATGCAGCCTGTTTACCATTTCAGAACTTGTGGTTTTCTTATTTAAATATGTCCCGTTTTCTAACGTGGTATCATTGGGTCTGATAGGTCAGAGAACTGGTCTGACCTGAACCCTACAGATAATTACTGTGAGGAGAGACACCAGCAACCTGGACTTCCAGAACATCTGAGCAGGTCCATGGGCTGAAAGCCTCTTTGATGCAGTTATTGCTGCAGTTCCAAGCCCTAAGCAGGACGTGGACAAACTTTAGCCCATCATTTCAGGATTAAAAATCTGAGAAATATTTTAGGGTTTCAGTTGTTGCTTTTATTAAAATAACAGAAATAAACACTTGAGCTGTTTAACTCTGTGTGGGATGAACCTGTATGAAATAATTGAAACTTATTCATGGGATGTTTCTGTTGTTGCTTTTGTTGTCCCTTTTTATTTGTAATAAACTCTTTTGTGTGTATTTTGCTGCAGACTATCTCAGGATTTATGACTCCAGTTGGATCAGAGATGGCAGCTTTGTCAGAAGTTCGAAGGGTGATTAAACTCTCTTATCTTATCTAAAGATTTAACTGCAACATGTTTGTACAATTTGTTCATTATGTCCGTTGATGTAAAATCTCCTTCCCTAAAGAGATTGAAGTTTTTTTTTTATTTGACCTAGCTTTCCTACACTTCTCTTATTGTCCTCTGTCTCTCTGCAGGACAGCTCTAGTTCCATGGGTTCAGGAGAGTTCACTGGCATCAAGGAACTGGATGATATCAGCCAGGAGATCGCCCAGTTGCAGAGGTAACAACAGCAGAACTCCTAATGCTTCCATATTCATCAAAGTATTTTCTGTTGGCTAAAGACATTTCAGTTCTCATTCCTGGAGGTTTTTTTTCTTCTATTTAAAAAAGCTTTGGAAATACAGTGAGGAGCTCCATTTACGTGAGCTGAACTCTTCCTCCTGAGGGTCATTAGGGTTTTCGTCAGAGAAATGTTTTGTCCCTTAAAGACGGGCTGGAAGCCATTTAGATAAAAATAGACTAACTTTAAACAGAGAAGTTCTCAGGTTATACCCAATGTATAATGTAGCATTAAAGCTTGATACCCAGTCAGGTTCACTTTCATTCACACCTTCATGCAGGTGAACAAAACATATCTGCAAGTAATGCAAACGAAGACCCTAATGGCAGCTCAGGAGGGAGATTCATCTGCATGAGCTCACATAATCAAAGCACCTCTCTGTTGTTTAAAACAGTAGAAATGCACATTTGAACTGCAGAGGAGAAGCAGAAGTTCAGCTAACAGAATAGCAGGCCTTGTTTTCAAACTGTTTTTCTTGTAAAACATTGAAATTTTCACTGAGACCACAATAGATACATACACACATGTTCCTTTTGTCCTTTTTGTTGAAGATTTTATTCTTGCCACTCTCAGGTCAGTTGTCCTCAAATCTGTGGATAACTGCAGAGGTGTGCTCCGAGCACTACTGAGGGCAATGCACACACCTCTGCAGGTGGTTAATGCATACACAGAAGGGCGACAAAGTGGCCCTGAGAACAGTGAGGGCCAAACTGTCCCAGGCAACCGGTGAAGCAAAGTGGGTGCATGGCCAGAACATTCACAGCCCCCTCCAGTACAGCGGGGACATGTGGTGCATGCGGTAGGGCATCATGTCATCACTGACTACAGAACACTACCTGCCAGTGACAGGGATGCCTCGCTCCCAGATGAGCTGAACAACTTTTACGTCTGGTTTAAAGGGCAAACCCATATGGCGCAGTAGAAGACCACCCCTCTGAGTGAGATCCTAGGAGGCTCAAGAAAACAGACAGGAGAGAGGCCTGGAGGTTCAGCTGAAGAACCTTTCAGAGGTCTGAGGATGCTCAAGAGTACCCTGACATAGAGGGGCCCAGACACTTCCTTCTCAATAACAGATGGCGGGCAGCGATTTTACAGCCGACTTGTGTCTGGGGCTGCCTACTCTGACAGATTTTTTTCCCCCTTCGGAGCCAATCGACGTGCCGGTGTGTGATAGTCATATGACCGATTGCAGTCATTCTAGTGCACTTGTGTCAAACTCAAGGCCCAGGGGCCACATGTGGTCCTCGTTGACATCTTTTCTGGCCCCCAAGAAGATATGTTAAATGTAAAATACTTTTTTCACTTTAATTTTTTTCAGTAATCTTTGATTATGATGTCAAAAGTGCAGCAGGGAACATCAAATGAGACCAATCAAACTCTTGTTGAGGAACCTGGAACCAAGAAAAGATGTTGAGTATCTGACTTGAGTTAATGTAGATTCCGAAATTGGCCCTTAGTTTGAAAAAGGTTTTAATTTCAGCCCCCTTTTGTAAGTGGGTTTGACACCCCTGCTCTAGCTGGAAAGACACAGCCTCTCAGAGACTCATTTCAAGCCCCTTGAGGAAGTAGAGTCTCTGATGAGCTTTCTTGATCAGGCTAGTAGTGTTGTTGCCCCAGCTGAGGTTGTCATTCAGGTGCACACCCAAGTACTTGTAGCCGGAGACCACTTCCACCACAGAAGTGGTCTCCAATCAGCCATCTTCTGTGGTGTAGTCTGCTGGAGCAGCAGCTTCTCTACAGCTGAGAGGAAGCAGTTAGATAAGCTTATCATGAAGGCCAGCTCTGTCTTAGGATGCCCCCTGGACCTGGTGCAGGTGGTGGGAGACAGAAGAACTCATTGAAGAATGTCTCCCACCTCCTGCATGAAGCTGTTACAGAAATGGAGATCTCCTTCAGGGACAGACCGCTGCATCTGAGGTGCCCAAAGGAGTGTTATCACAGGTCCTTCCTCCCAGCAGCTGATAAGTGATTGGAACAATCACAACAAACTTAATAAGTGTTTACATCCCTGCTGTCACGTGCACACTACAGGTCCTTCTCAAAATATTAGCATATTGTGATAAAGGTAATTATTTTCCATAATGTAATGATAAAAATGAAACTTTCATATATTTCAGATTCATTGCACACCAACTGAAATATTTCAGGTCTTTAATTGTTTTAATACTGATGATTATGGCATACAGCTCATGAAAACCCAAAATGCCTGTCCCAAAAAATTAGCATATCATGAAAAGGTTCTCTAAACAAGCTATTAACCTAACCATCTGAATCAACGACGTAACTCTAAACACCTGCAAAAGATTCCTGAGGCTTTTAAAAACTCCCAGCCTTGTTCATTACTCAAAACCGCAATCATGGGTAAGACTGCCGACCTGACTGCTGTCCAGAAGGCCATCATTGACACCCTCAAGCAAGAGGGTAAGACAGAATGAAATTGCTGAACGAACAGGCTGTTCCCAGAGTGCTGTATCAAGGCACCTCAGTGGGAAGTCTGTGGGAAGGGAAAAGTGTGGCAGAAAACGCTGCACAACGAGAAGAGGTGACCGGACCCTGAGGAGGATTGTGGAGAAGGGCCGATTCCAGACCTTGGGGGACCTGCGGAAGCAGTGGACTGAGTCTGGAGTAGAAACATCCAGAGCCACCGTGCACAGGTGTGTGCAGGAAATGGGCTACAGGTGCCGCATTCCCCAGGTCAAGACACTTTTGAACCAGAAACAGCAGCAGAAGCATCTCACCTGGGACTGCTGCTGAGTGGTCCAAAGTTATGTTCTCTGATTACAGTAAATTTTGCATTTCCTTTGGAAATCAAGGTCCCAGAGTCTGGAGGAAGAGAGGAGACACATAATTCACATTGCTTGAGGTCCAGTGTCAAGTTTCCACAGTCACTGGGGTGTCATGTCATCTGCTGGTGTTGGTCCACTGTGTTTTATCAAGCGTTTTATCAATGCAGCTATCAGGAGATTTTGGAGCACTTCATGCTTCCATCTGCTGAAAAGCTTTATGGAGATGAAGATTTCATTTTTCAGCACGACCTGGCACCTGCTCACAGTGCCAAAACCACTGGTAAATGGTTTACTGACCATGGTATTACTGTGCTCAATTGGCCTGCCAACTCTCCTGACCTGAACCCCGTAGAGAACCTGTGGGATATTGTGAAGAGAAAGTTGAGAGACGCAAGACCCAACACTCTGGATGAGCTTAAGGCCGCTATCGAAGCATCCTGGGCCTCCATAACACCTCAGCAGTGCCACAGGCTGATTGCCTCCATGCCACGCCGCATTGAAGCAGTCATTCGTGCAAAAGGATTCCCGACCAAGTATTGAGTGCATAATTGAACAAGATTATTTGAAGGTTGGCATTTTTTTGTATTAAAAACACTTGTCTTTCATTGGTGGGATGAAATATGCTAATTTTTTGGGACAGGCATTTTGGGTTTTCATGAGCTGTATGCCATAATCATCAGTATTAAAACAATTAAAGACCTGAAATATTTCAGTTGGTGTGCAATGAATCTGAAATATATGAAAGTTTCATTTTTATCATTACATTATGGAAAATAATGACCTTTATCACAATATGCTAATTTTTTGAGAAGGACCTGTACTTGTATTTCTTGGACACAGTGTGCTGTTTTCTTCTACATGCAAACACATGCACATGTTGTACATTCTTTAAATGATCCTACTCAGTTCACGTCTTGAATCTGGATATGCTATTTTAATAACTGCACAGTATTTTATTGTTCTTGTGCTGTAAATATGTCCTTACTGTACAGCCTCATTCATGGGCTGCTTTTATATTTTTTACCTTTGTGTGACTCTGCATTGTTTGATTTACTGTCACTGCTGCTGGTACATCTTAATGTCCCCACTGAGGGACAATAAAGATTATTTCAATTATATTAACATTTTGCTGAGCTGGGAAAGCTTTCTTTACTGCAACAGGATCGCACAGATTGATAAATTTGAATGAATAAAAAGTCATATTCCTTTAGGTCTAGTTTCTTGGAAACAACTTGTCATTGACCCCAGTATCAGTATCATTATCAGTCAGTTTAATGGAGGCCAAAGCTGCACGAGAATCAGAACTTTTATCAACGATAGATTAAAACCTTATCTTCGTCTGCACACTTTTTGATCATGAAGTGTAATCATTACTCAGATCATCCTGATGCATGCTCAATAATCCAGGTAGAAAAATCCAAAAAAGTTCATTCTGGTCCTCTGGACATTCAAAAAAACAAAAGCAAAACAAAGCAAAAAAAAAATTCTAGAAACGTTTCTTCTCTCATCCAAGAGACTTCCTCAGTCTGAGGTGTTGTTTTCAGCTCAGTCTCTTAAATAGCACCTTCTTAGAGTGGATCAACCAGTTTGCTGCTGACAACCAAAACCAGCTGATCACATGCTCAAGAAGGACCATCAGCCTAACAATGGGTCATTAGCACACTGATGGCTGTTTACTACTCACAGAGGGCTGAGTGATACTAGCAATCACAGCATTGTAAGAGGGGGACAGTTGAACCCGGAGGCCTCCACCCCTGTTTAATGATGGACGATTTCTTTTCACAAAGATGGCCTCCTTTACTCCTCTCTCAAACCATCGTTCCTCTCTGTCCAGGATGTGAACATCTTCATCC